TATATATATATTAATCTAGTAATATCATATAAGTATAGGGTTGCATTTTAAACTTTTCAAAATTTAGGGTTTGAAATTTAAGATGTCTAAATTAAAACTTTTAATCACCAATATAAATTTTAAAACTTTAGGGTAGGTTTTAAACATTTAAAACATGAAGGATCAAATAACAAATAATTCCAATTAACAATTAATATTCTAATTATCTTTATTTGATTTATCTTGATTTCTTTGAAGATAATTACCAAAATAATTAATCATTATCATATAAGGAAATTAAATATTTTATTAGATGATAAATATCTTTAATTAGATCAAGATAATAGTCATATTTATCAAAAAATCGGATTTACATTGATCTAATATGATTAAGGTAAGTTTCCATAAGATAATTATGAAAAAATCCCGAATCTGGCCATTCCTGACGCCTGGACTCGCCGAGTGCACAAGGGGACTCGCCGAGCCAGGCCTACTCGACGAGTCCACCTTGGAACTCGACGAGTCAGTGACTCAAAACCCAAAAAATCGAATTTTGCAGGTTTGTTTCAGTTAATCAAGCAACAATTTAAAGAAAACCAATCTAGGCTCTGATACCACTGTTGGGTTTTAGCCATAAGAACTTTCCTATGTGCGCATGCAAAACCCTATTGCTTGGATCTAGGCTTTCTAATAAACAAGCTTTTGAATCCAAGACTTCTAATGGCTAATTAGGTTAAACAAAAATATTAAAACAGATCTAGAATCATACCTTTGAATTCCTTGTTGATCTTGTTTGTCTTGAAGCTTCTAGAGTCACAATTGTCACTCCTCTAATGGCTTACAAACACCAATAGCAAGCAAGATGATTTAGGAGAGAGGAAAGGGGAGGAATTCTGTAACGTCATAAAATTTCCAACCAAAAATTTTCATTTTTACAACCATTAAGACATGAGTAATTAGTTTAGATTTCCAAAATAACGTCTTAGTCTCAAATGATTACATAACAAAAGATAAAATAGTTTCCCCGAGTGTGTGTACGATCACGCTGGTGCCTTCCCACGGTCCTCACTCGTACCTGAAACACATAAGCAACAACTGTAAGCATAAAGCTTAGTGAGTTCCCAAAATACAACATATGCACATACGCCTTTCCAGGCCTTGACCTTCCGGTCCATGTGTTTCAGGGGACTTCCGTCCCGACTGGGTAAACCTTCCGGTCCTACCCACATCAACCTTTACAGTCCATATGACCACGCCTTCCGGCCCATATCAAACATATCATACATGACACATATAGCAAATAACTTAACACACATAAAGCATATATTCCATATCATATTCGACCTTCCGGTCACATAGTCAAAACCCTTCCGGGTACAGTATAGTGAGAAGACTCACCTCGTATGCCTCGCTAAGTTGCTAATCGTAAATCCTGGAATCACTCGGGCTCGAACCCTCGAGCTGCAATCCTCCTACGATATATAAATCTATAAATATTACTTGTACCACTAAGGTGGACCATTCAAAATAAGTCAACACAGGTTGACCTGGTCAACAGTCTTTAGTTAATTTGGACTATACTCGGCGAGTGCACAATAGTGACTCGGCGAGTCTACGCGTTTTTACCAACTCTCAAAATTTTCCCTTTGACTCGTCGAGTACTCCCCCGACTCGACGAGTTCCACCTGGGCCTAACTCACAGGGCCACTGCGACTCAACTCGCCGAGTCGAAGGTCAACTCGGCGAGTCCCATCCTGACTCGGTCCACCTGACAAAACCTTTCCAACTCTCTGCGACTCACTGAGTCGCTCACAACTCGGTCCAGTCTACACACAAGATGGTCTCAAGGACAATCTTCAAGTGACTCGTCGAGTCTGTTCTTCAGACTCGGCGAGTCCATGCCATGCACCAGCTAAAACTGGCTTTTGCGGTCAGATCCGTTCCATAAATACATAGATCTGGCCTTCCCAAGCTTATTTGTCACGTAAAGTCTCAGTCTTGGTTGCCATGCAATGCATACAAGGCTTATTTTGAAGAAACAACCTTTAATATGGCAAGTATAACTTCTAACTCAAAAGGGTGGGCATAAAGCTTGTCACAAGGGGTCTCCTGGACCTGCTAAAGTCCAGATCTAGGTTCCATGTCTCCATAGGACCTCTCATACTTCTTATTCAAGCCAAGAAAGGCAAGAAGAAACCCTAGATTTGGCCCATCAACACAAAACACGAAGATTGGCTCAGAAAGTTACCTCAAGAAGACCCCCTTGATGAAATAGCAACAGATCTAAGCTCCCCAACACTTCAAGCTTGCTCCTCTCCCTCCTTTCCTTGCACTAACACACAAAATGAAGAACAAAAGGCCTTCAAACACACACACAAGGGCTTACAGACGTATGGAGGCTCTTAGGGTTCAAGGTGGCTGCATATGAGGGCCATAAGGTCCTTTAAATAGAGCTTAGGACCGGGGAATTAGGGTTTCATTAAACAGTGCGGACTCGTCGAGTCCATCCCTTGGACTCGTCGAGTCCGGACGCGAACCCCCGCTAAAAACCGCGACCCGACTCGGCGAGTTCAACCACCGACTCGCCGAGTCCCCTCACAGAATGTCAAAAATATAAAAGGAATGAAGATACCTGGGAATCCGGGCTGTTACAAATTCGACCAGAGGTTCCTTGCTTAAGGTTGTGTGTCGAATTCCCCCATCCATAGGGGCTATTTATACTATTAGACTCCTTAAAGGCTTCACCCTAAACCCTAATTGGATAATCTTCTCTTAAGGCTATCCAAATCCATTCCATAGATAACCCTATGGACGATTTTGAGCTATTCTAAAGCTCTTAGAATCCGTCCAAGGTGTATCCTAATGGATTTATAGTCTAAAGTCTAACTATCAAACAATTGACAGTTTATACCCTCTTATTTAATTAATCTCTTTAAGTCACCAAATTAATACCAATTAATTTATGACTTATATTAATCAAATAGCTAAATATTATTCCTTATAATATTTACTCTCTCTTAATAAATCATCCTTCAAGTTGCTATGGTGAAGGCAACCCAAAAGGACCATGCACCACCGAATATAGTTATAGCCTTAGACACTATTCCAACAATTCAAACCATCCAAAATCGGTCATATGTTGGAAGTAGATATGAAGCAAGACTATCATGGGTGGGCTTGTAGAGGTCTAAGATGTTGGACAAAGTGGTGCTACAACACTCATGAGTGCTCATAAGTTCTAAGTATTGGATTCAACACACACTCATTGGAATCACTTCATGGATTTTATCAGGAGTGATTATGAGACAGTAATATCTTATATTCTTCAAACCTAGAGATACGAGTTGTTACTATGATTTGGTTATACATTGATCACACGAAAACGCATTGGTAACTCGATGTTGTGAAACGTGCCTTAGTGTATGATTCAACCAGTAACAGAACAAGCCATATGAGTCGAAGTTTATCCATTCCTTTTACCTTCAGGATAAAAGTGATATTTGTGGGGCCCTCGATGATTTAATGATGATACATGTGAGTGCTTGGCCAATCTAGGATTGATTTGATATGTTCAATCAGTTAGTGATCATAACTTGGAAATCGGGAAACAACAAATGGACAGAGATAATGATTTATAATCCATGTTTCAGTCCATGTGATATCTAGAATGGAGGAATATATGATCCCTTATCTAATGGACAAGTCATTGACAAAGTTCAGAGTTCATCGACAAGGTCAGAGTTCGATAGTGGCTTTTGAGAGCTATAATTTCCAGTTAGCTTTTGAAGTCATACTCAATAATAGTTTTAGACTTATCCAAGTGGGAGACTGTTGGATTAGTTTCTAAGTCCATAACTATATTTAGTATGTACTTGACCCGACTCAGCATGGTCCATTTGGGTTGCATGGCATCATGCATTTTGATACACTACTAGAAAAACAGTCTTTTACGACGCGCAATCCATGACACACACTGTTTCACGATACGCAATAGTGGGTACCCTAAAAATAATGCCATCTCTCCCAAAAGTTGAGGGATTCGGGACACGCATTTTTATGTGCCCCTAAATTTAGTGTCAAAATAATAAAAATAAAAAAACACGGAGGGCACCTATCATAAAAGCGTATCATCTAAGAATGTCATTTTATAATTTTTTTTTCATTAAACGCGCGTGCTTCGTTTTTAATTGCTAAGGGGAAATGAATTCCCAAAAAATTAAAAACCCTTCCTCATGTTCTCCTCTCCATTGTTTCCACCCGCTGTCTTTCCATATTTTGACCTAATTATTCAAGCTCTGTGATTTCCATGTCCTCTTTGAAATCTATTGTTACTATTTGAAATCAGATTCAATCCTACCATCACTCAAGCCTTCTTGTCTCTCTTGGTCGCTACCTAGGGTTTATATTGAAAGCTTGAATCGATCGACTGAGGTAAATCAAATGTCAAACGAACCGGGAAAGGGTTTTCAGTGAAATTACTGTTACTCTTTGAAATCGAATCCAATCCTACCTTCGACCAATCCTTCTTGTCTCTATCGGTCGCGACCTAGGGTTTTTTTGTGAAATCTTGAATCGATCGACTAGGGAAACCAAAGGGTAAACAAACCAGGAAAGGGAAGCAATAAATCTAACACTCACTCTCAAATCGATTCTACTGGATAAGGTTTTAATTTGGGCTGTCTACATTCTCATCGATTCTACTTTCATTCAAGCTTACATAAGTTTTTTTTATGAACCATTTGATCCCTAGATGGCACTGACTTTTGTTTCCTGGTGATACAAGGTTTGTTCTTCCTCGCACTCGACATACTCTAGTAACAAAAGCCTACAATGGAAATCAATTGTGACCTAGGTTTCTACTCCACCGACCTAGGTTTGTCAACAAATTCTTTTACCTTTTATTTGTTGTTTTCTTCTCATAAATTCTTTGATATGTGCGATTTACATTTTTTTAATGAAATCAGGCACATATGGATTTTGATTTCACTAGTGATATTTGAAGAACAGAGAATTCGTCTCATATGGGAACCCAATTGTCAACCAACCATTTTGGTATGTGATTATCATAATGTTTGGGTAAAGGAATTAGAATATGGACAATCAAATCTAGCCAACATACTGCACACTAACGAACTATCAAGGCAATTTAGCGTAAATTTAGTTTCACTTTAATATTGGACAAACTTTATATGGCTACTATCAGTTTTACCATCTTTTCTTTTTATTCTTTATGAGTGTCAAGATATTTATAGAGTTATATTGCTAATTCATGATGATGATTTGCAATCCATTATACTATTTATATATATATATATAATATATATATATATATATATATATATATATATATATATATATATATATATAGTTTTATTGTGACTATATCTATATGTGTTGTATATATTTAGGATGTGGAAGAACTAATGAAGGAAGTACAAGAGTCTAGAAGGATCAAGATGCTACATCAGCCTAGTAAGGTACACCATGCTAATTGCATTTGATTTTGGTGCATTTTTTGTTATTATTAATTTTGACCTTTTCATTTATTTAGTTTCTTATATTTTAGGAGTTTAGTTTTACAAATCATCTTCTCACAGGTTATGGATATGGAACATGAGCTCCAGGCATTACGAAGTCAACTAGCAGATAAGTCTACTTGTTCATTAAAGCTCCAGATAGAGGTTAAATAATTTTAATAATCAGTCTTAATTATTTATCATAGATGGTTTGTTATTATTATTATTATTAATTTATTTTTTTGTTGTTTGTTTGTATTCTATTGGCAATGAGCAAACAGGGAGAGAAAAATAGACCCTATTGATTTGAATTAGATGGCACAAAATCTTGAGGTTCATATTTGCAGATTCATCCATGTTTTGATGAAGTCCCAGAGCTTGTAGAATGTTCTATCCAATAGCATCTTTTGGCTTCTGAAGGTGGAAAAAGGCTCTTATTTCAGATATTAAGATTATGTTTTTGGATTAATTTTTATTTTTTATAAAAGTCATCTAAATTTTGTACTTTTTAGGTGCCACAAAACCTATTTATGCTCCTGAACCTTCTGATGTTGGGCGATTAGTTGAAGCTGAGGTCATTTCAGATAGGTTGAGTATCACTTTAACAACCTCTGGTCCCATTGTACTAGGTTTGTCTGTGAAAAGACGTAAATGCCCTCCTTGTGATGCTTTATACCAAACTCAACTTATAAAAATTATGTAAAACAACTGCAGCATTAGGAAACTATGTGGAAGCATTGGTTCGTCACCATGACACCGAATTTAATGAATGCCAACTTAACTATTATGCTATAAACATGGTGGTAGTTTAATTCAGTCTCTAGTAAGTTGATGCATTTTTTGTAATATTGGTGTAGGCTAAATGCAGAGAGACAGGGGAAATTGTGGCGATCAAGAAAGTTCTTCAAGACAAACATTACAACAACAGAGAGCTACAAGTTATGCAAATGTTGGATCATCCAAATGTTGTGGCATTGAAGCACTCTTTCTTTTCAACCACTGAAAAAGAGGAGCTTTGCCACAATCTTGTTCTTGATTTTGTTACATAAACTGTTAGTAGAACTGCAACACATTACACTAGGATGAACCAATGAATGTGATTGATATATGTCAAATTGTTTACTTATCAGGCATGTTCATGTGCTACCTCATTTATGGTAATATATAGGACATAATTGTTTTCAGATTAAAGATATAAACATAACAGGAGAATGTATCTACAATTTTAAAAAAGCTGAATCTTTTTTATACTTTTTAGTGCAGATATGCAGGGCACTTGCATATATTCATAATTTTATCCAGATATGTCACCGTGAAATCAAAACCATAGAATTTACATGTAAGATTAGTCTTGATCATTTATGCACTCAATTATAAAACTTTTTTTTAATTATTATTATAATGTATATATGTAGTTGTATTAAATCTTATTTGTTACTTTCATGTGAATCCACACACACACACATCTATCCAATCTATCAAATTGCCTTCAGTTCATCGTTTGGTAGCAATAGCAAAGGTATAATACATTAATATCATCCATTCTTTTAATCCTTGTTTTTATTGTTGGTGCACATAATAATAAAAAAATTTCTATTGTGATGCTAAGTTGCTAACAACTTGTATTTTACATTTGCAGGTTGGGCATGTGGATTCTGGAAAGTCAACACTTTCAGGAAGCCTGCTACACCTTTTGGGATAAATATAACAGGAGGCTAAGTTACCATGTTGTTGAAACGACCCAAAAACACGACCCAAAAATTTTCGTTTTTCCATATAATCAAACCATAATATAAGTATCATAACATAAAACATACGCGATGTATCCCCAAAACATAATAAAATATTGTGCGGTAATCTTTATCATACTACATCAATCCAAAACATCAAGAGACATCCCCAGGATAAAAGCTATGCTGTGGTGTGTGCGATGCTGTCACCCCAAGCTCTTCCCTTTGCTTGCGGAAGTACCTGAAACCAAACTGAAACTGTAAGCACGAATCTTAGTGAGCTCCCGCAAACTACCACATACCATACAATAACATATAAACACATATTGGGCCTTGCCCACTGCATCGGGCCGAAGCCCGAAAACTGCATCGGACCGAAGTCCGGAACTGATTGGGACCTTGTCCCCTGCATCGGACCGAAGTTCGGAACTAACTGCATCGGACCGAAATCCGGAACTAACTGCATCGGACCGAAGTCCGGAACTGACTGGGACCTTGTCCCCTGCATCGGACCGAAGTCCGGAACTAACTGCATCGGACCGAAGTCCGGAACTGACTGGGACCTTGTCCCCTGCATCGGACCGAAGTCCGGAACTAACTGCATCGGACCGAAGTCCGGAACTGACTGACTGAACATGGCATAGCATAACACATCAACTAGCATAACACATATACGACATGCTACATCGGGCCGTGGCCCGGAACACATAATACTTAACACATAAACATAGCACACAAATCCTGTTCGAGCCACGAAGGCATCGAACATACTAACTACTGCATCGGACCTAAATCCGGAAACTACTGCTAACTGAACGGGCCGGCATTGTGGCCTTAGACCCGTTCCTACTGGAAGGAAACTCACCTCGTAAGCTGGCTGCTGAGTGTGTGGCTCGGAAAGCTAACGGCGGCTGCTCCTGAATCTCCTCGGCTACAAGTCCATAAACACACTCAATCAAATACTAAACACTGCGCTTGGGGTAAAATGACTCTTTTACCCTCGGTCAAAGTCAACTCTCCTTTGGGCTGACTCGCCGAGTTGGGCCACCCAACTCGCCGAGTCCTACTCTCACTTTTCACTTTACTCACTGCTACTCGTCGAGTCTGGCATCGACTCGACGAGTACCCTCTTGATCCAAGAACTCAGACAATCTTCATCCGACTCGCCGAGTCGTATGAACAGACTCGACGAGTTGTTCTTGATCCCAAGAAGATTGCCTTGGACTCGCCGAGTTGATGAACAACTCGCCGAGTCCCTCCATCACTGAGTTCACCCTCAACTCGCTGAGTCCACTCTCTAACTCACCTCGTCCACTCGACACTGATAAAACTGAAGAACTCGGGACTCGCGACCCAACTCGTCGAGTCGTTCTTCCGACTCGCCGAGTTGCCGCCATGCAACTGATTTTTACTTGATTTTGTTTGAATCCAATGCATACAATTGATAGATCTGAGTCCAATAAGCTGATTTACCACGTAAAGTTTCCAACTTTACGTGCACAACCTCATGAATAAGGGAAATAAGGCTAAAAGATGCATAAAATGGGTAGATCTATGGTTATCATGCAATATAACTCCAAAAAGACAGTAGATCTGGGCTCTACAACACCCCAACATTCAGATCCATAGCTATTTCGACTTAATAAGACGTTCATGCAAGTGTAAGGCTTGGAACAAGCATCAACTAGCTCTTAGGAGAGCTCTAATGGAAGTTTAAAGCATATAACAAGATGGAACTCCGAAAATACCTCAATTAACTCTGATTTGGCCTTGGATCTTTGCACTACAACACTTCTCCTTGCTTCTTCCTTCTTCTCCTTCTTCACACCTTCACAAAATGGCACCAAAACACATATAAGCTCTTCAAGGAGGTTTAGGGTTCTATACTGCGTTCTCAGGGTGAGGGAGGCGAGAATGGGGGCTATAAGGTGGTATAAATAGTGGGCAACCCGGGGATTTTAGGGTTTCACCCAGACAGATGGACTCGCCGAGTCAGGGATATGGACTCGCGAGTCCCCGGCTCACGCGTGCCCTCAGGCGCGACCCTACTCGGCGAGTCAGGCTAGAACTCGCCGAGTCCCTCTTGAAAAACTCACTATAATTACCAATAAATCAACATACCGGGAACGGGTCGTTACAATTCTCCCCCACTTGTCTCAGACTTCGTCCTCGAAGTCTGCTACGGCTGGATCTGCAAATAACTCCGGGTAGTGCGCTCTCATTTCCTCTTCAGCCTCCCACGTCCATTCAGACCCCTTCCGGTGCTGCCACTGCACCTTTACTAGCTGAATTACCTTGTTCCTCAAGGTCTTGGTCTTCCGTTCCAGAATCGCGACCGGCTTCTCGATATAATTTAGGCCGCTATCAACCTGAATGTCCTCTAAGGGAACGACTGCTCTCATCCACCAAACACTTCCTCAACTGCGACACGTGGAAGGTGTTGTGTATCTGACTAAGCTCCTCAGGGAGATCTAACCGATAAGCAACCCGACCCACCCGGGCCAAAACCCTGAAAGGACCAATAAATCTGGGGCCCAATTTGCCCCTCTTCCGGAACCTGATGACACCTTTCCAAGGTGAGACTTTCAGAAGAACCATATCTCCCACCTGGAACTCCAAGTCCGAACGCCTCCTGTCGGCGTAGCTCTTCTGCCGACTCTGCGCAGTCTGCAGCCTACTACGGACCTGCTGGATCAACTCAGTCGTCTTGAGCACCACTTCGGTGCTCCCGATGACTCGCTGACCGACCTCGCCCCAACAAATCGGGGTCCTGCACTTCCTGCCATATAACATCTCAAAAGGAGGTCGATCAATGCTCGCATGATAACTGTTGTTATACGAGAATTCCGCTAACGGAAGATACGTATCCCAACTGCCCCCAAAATCTAAAACACATGCCCTAAGCATGTCCTCGAGAGTCTGAATCGTCCTCTCGCTCTGCCCGTCAGTCTGAGGATGAAAAGCGGTGCTGAAATGGAGACGAGTACCCATCTCGTCGTGGAATCGCTTCCAGAATCTGGACGTGAAACGAACATCTCGGTCCGACACCACCGATACCGGCACTCCATGACGTGCCACAATCTCTCGCACATAGATATCGGCTAACTTTTCCGCCGATATACTCTCCTGAATCGGAATAAAATGGGCACTCTTCGTCAACCGATCCACTACTACCCATATCGAGTCCACCCCGCGTGCGGTCCTGGGGAGTTTGGTGACAAAATCCATGGTGATATCCTCCCATTTCCACACGGGAATGTCTAACGGCTGCATCTTGCCGTGAGGTCTCTGGTGCTCCGCCTTGACCTTCCGGCAGGTCAAACATCTCTCCACATACCAAGCGACATCTCGCTTCATGCAGGGCCACCAATAATCAGGTCGAAGATCTCGATACATCTTCGTCGCTCCTGGGTGGATAGAAAATCGAGACTTATGAGCCTCGTCCATCAATACTTGCCGTACCCCACCCCAGTACGGTACCCATACCTACCATGAAGCGTCAACAAACCCCGACTGTCGTAATCAAATGAAGCTACTCGGCCCACTATCCTCTCGCACTTCTGCCTCTCCTCCTTGAGGCCCTCCATCTGAGCCTCCTTGATCCGCTCCAACAACGGAGTGATCACTGTCATCCTCATACACAGATCTCTGATAGGGGCCGTCGACACCTTGCGGCTCAGGGCGTCGGCCACCACATTGGCCTTCCCTGGATGATAAAGGATCTCACAGTCATAGTCCTTCAGCACGTCTAACCATCTCCTCTGCCTCATGTTCAAACTCGGCTGATCCATAAGATATATCAAACTCTTGTGATCCGTGTAAATAGTACAGCGGACCCCATAAAGGTAATGTCTCCAAATCTTGAGGGCAAACACAACTGCCCCCAGCTCCAAATCGTGGGTAGGATAATTAGCCTCGTGAGGCTTCAACTGTCTCGAGGCATAAGCTACTACATGGCCTCGCTGCATCAATACTGCTCCCATACCTGTGATCGAAGCATCACAATAGACTACGAAATCCTCTACTCCTTCTGGCAAGGTAAGGATCGGAGCCTCGCACAATCTCTGCCTGAGAGTCTCGAACGCCGCCTGCTGCTCAGGCCCCCAACGAAAAACCACCGACTTCTTGGTTAGTCGGGTGAGCGGCACTGCTATCTTGGAGAAGTCCTGAATAAATCTCCGATAATACCCTGCCAACCCCAGGAAGCTCCGAATCTCAGATGGAGACCTCGGGACCTCCCACTGCATCACGGCCTCAATCTTGGCCGGATCTACCAAAATACCCTTCTGGTTGACGAGATGACCAAGAAACTGCACCTC